GACAGAGTTCAGAGATTCAGTCTTTTTTAAGGCTGGAATTGGTAATCTGGCTTGAATACTTGATCATGTACAAGGGTCTTGAAAAAAGTTCATGCAATCATTCAAAAGATGTCATACATTTGAGCTGAAAAAATTATTCTTTAAGGAAAACATATTCTTTGACCCAAAAAAATCAGTCCTGTTTGACAATTTGTTTTAATGTTTTGCAAAATTCACCCTAGCAGAGTTTTGCTCTCCACTCAAAAGATGAGGCACCCTTCCTGCAGATTTTCTTTAGTAGCCCAGCTTTCCCCTCATAATTTTTGAAATAATAATACCCTTAGAAAGAATGCCACGTTTATTTGAGATCTGCAAAAGTCTATAAGGACAAAATTCTTCTCTTTCCTGCAGATTTTTTTTTGTAGCCCAGCTTTCCCCTCATAATTTTTGAAATAAACATGGTATTCTTTTGAAGGGTATTATTATTTCAAAAATTATGAGGGGAAAGCTGGGCTAAAAAAAAAAACTGCAGGAAAGAGAAGAATTTTGTCCTGATAGACTTTTGCAGATCTCAAATATATTTGAAATAAACATATTTGAAATAAACATGGTATTCTTTTGAAGGGTATTATTATTTCAAAAATTATGAGGGGAAAGCTGGGCTACAAAAAAAAATCTGCAGGAAAGATAAGAATTTTGTCCTTGTAGACTTTTGCAGATCTCAACAGAAGAGTTCTAGGACAGAATCAGGAATATCCTTTGAAACTCAAGGTCAACTCTGGTCCCACAAGATTCCTGAGGAGATTTGCTTTCTTTGCTATTTCCTGAAACTCATATTTCTAAACAGCCCCTTAATTTATTTTTGACAGGACATCCATTTATTCAAGAATAATGTGTACAATAGACGAGTTTTGAAAGAGTGGCCAAAGACTTATACTCGGCAAGCATCAACCATGAATCGGTATATTCCAGGCACTCATCGCGAAGGAAACGAACGCACGTGCGTTGACAGTCGTCCAAGATTTTTCACGGTACCCACAACAAATGATTTCAAACACATTTTCCTTTTCTCCCCCATCACTTTCCCACGCAGGAAAACAAGAAGGCATCTATCTCATCGTTCACAAACTTTGCATGGACGGCAACAAATCAAAGGAGAGCCACGAAAATCGCATGATCCTCACACAACCACAATCGAATCCACGCTCACCGAAAGCCCTGAATGCGATCCGACAGCTAACTTCATAAAAATACCCTTAATTGCACCAACACAATCCGCCAATTTTGTCACCATTTTGAAAATAAAATTTCTAGTGCCTTTCGGAATTGGGGGGGGGGGGAATGTAGATCATCAACTGCGCTAAAAATGAGCACAACAACAGATGATCAGTAAATCTTCCCACAACAGAAAATGATTTAGAAACCTGCATCACTAAATATAAGAATTTTAAAATTAAATCGAGCAAGAGCATCTGGAAATTTCAACTTTCATAACTTACTATTACAATGACGTACAAGAATTGTCCCAGTTCTGAATAGGATCAAAATTTCTTGAATTGGTAAAATTTTGTAGTAATAACCTTGAATTTTCCCAATGATTTTTTATAGGATCTGGTGCAGTACTTTTTGAAAAGATCTTCGAGAAAAAATTTTCAGTACACCGCATGAAAGCTGAGAAATGTTGTTATGGCAAGAGTTTCCCATTTATTTCAGTGTGCTGAAGTTTTTCAGAGGGTTCAAAATTATGAATCTTATCATTGTTCAGAATATTATGTTTCTTTCTCTCATCTTGTGAAATTTTTAAATTACTGTATTTTAATAATTTGTTCTATTAAAATACAGGTGTACTCAGTACAACAAGAATCTCTATATAACCACTTCATTAAGTCTCATACGGTAATACTCCCATGTTATAGAGGTTTTCTACAGCAAAATTCTCTCTACAGCAAATTTGTTTTGGTCCCTTTACTTTTTGTTCTTGGGAGAGTCCACCTGTACCAAACATTGAAACCATTTCACATCAGAAAGAACAGGTAAAACCCTCATATTTTCCATTCTGCTTCTTGCAGGATTATTACCACTGATACAAAGACTTTAATGAAGTAATACGCACAAATTTGCCCATTCAATGCTATTTCTTGCGCAAATTGAACAAATTTACAGAGGCACAGGTGGTACCTTGCAATTTGAAGTCCTGCAATTTGAACATCCTGCAATTCAACAGTTGAATTTGCTGGGACGTTCACTTGCAATTTGACCTTTTGCCCTGCTATTTGACCTGCAAGTGAGACTCAAAATGTCAAATTTGATGTAGAAAACATTGAATTTGAAATTGTCTCGCAATTTGACTGCTTTGACCCTTACCCAGCAATGGATTAGGGTCAAATTGCAGGGCACCACCTATATTAAAGTATTTTAAACTAATGCTATCAATTATTTCATACGGTCAAAATTCCATGTAATGCAAAGGAAACTATTTTTCAAAATTCCAGCACTGTTTCTCTTTCAAAAGTTCCAGGAGTTTAGGTGACTTTTAAAATTGATCGCGTTTTCTATTGGCGTGAATAAAGTACGGTTTGAAAAAATCACACCCAGTCACTTTCAATTGCCCAACAAGGTTTCCAAAAAATACTAAAAAAAAGGTCTCAATCTCTCATAGAAAATTTGCAGACGGTCCTTCGAAAGACTTGCTCTAGGTATGGACGTGAATCGTGACACTTTTTTCCCCTCCCCCGTGGCAAGGGAAACGCCCAGGGCTCACGATTGAGCATCTTTTTCACATAAATTCGCACCGATGATATTGCAGGAATTTTTCAGAAAAATGAGTCACACCGATCTGAATCATTGACTCGAACGTTCACTGAACTCCACCCGTCTTTTCTTTTTTAGTGAACGTCAAGTGCGATTTTTAAGAAGTTTCAAAAGGGTGAGTACCCAGAATTTTTGACATCTTGGAAGAAAAATATGCCGGAAACCAGTCGAATCTCTCAATATTCAAATTTCCGAAAGCAAGAAAGAAGTACAGTGAAGTACCAGTGCGAGCCGGAAGACATTCCCGCGGAATCAAAATGACACAAGAATATGCAGAATACTAGCGATTACATCGCAAAAATAATGTTATTCCACCATTTCGCCTAACATTACTTTAAAAAAGAAGGATGACGAGTGGCCCTTTTCTTGCATAATACTGCACTGTAACTTCGAACATTCCACGCAAATCTAGGCGGAGAAATTTATTTCTTCGACAAATTCTGCATAGAAGAGACGACGATTAATTAGATTTTTCGACAATCTTCCTACAAGATGAAAAATAAATCCTTACACAGCCGTGATTTATCTCAGGAACGAAATTTATAATTATCGCATAAGATTTTNCTTCGACGAATTCTGCATAGAAGAGACGACGATTAATTAGATTTTTCGACAATCTTCCTACAAGATGAAAAATAAATCCTTACACAGCCGTGATTTATCTCAGGAACGAAATTTATAATTATCGCATAAGATTTTTCCTAGAATTTTATACTACGACTTGGTTCACTCGCAGAGTTGAAGTCAATTCTCGTTTCCTTGGGTGCTCACGATTCCGATACGCTTATAAATTCAAGAACGTGATTTTGATTGGTGTCAAATAATGCACAATTCGAAATAATTTCCAAAGGAAACCACTGCATTGCCTTTAATGCCTATGGGTTTTTTTTTCAACAGGTAAAAGGTTGCACATCTCCTGACCGCACATTTTGTCAGAAAGTCAGAAATATGGTCGAAAGCCTCTGCCCTCAAAAGAGTATCTCGAGCGTTGAGAAGAATATTTTAAAAGTGTAGAGAAAAACCAGTCAAAGCCCTTCAACCAAGATTAAAATTGTTCAGGACTTGTCAATTTCATTTCGTAAGCGCCGCCTGGGAATCCGAAAACCCTCATAACACATTAAGACAAAACTGACTACCGAAATGAACTCTTCATCTTCAATTTACACTCGTTTCGATCAGCTTTTGGAAAGACTAATTACTGTTCATCTCCAAAACATCACTGCGAACTTTTTTCTTTCTCTACGGTACCCAGGTACTTCAATTCTTTGTTCGGGAAAGAGGTTCTGGGAGCTGAAACCGACCCAGTCGACAAATTCAACTGCGACGTCCTATTGCAAGCAGAGTAACGAAAGAATTTTTCAATTTCACAAAAAAACTAAATACTGAACCGTATTCCAAGTACCACGCGCACCATGGTTTTTCAGAGAAAAATTTTCCTAAAATGCTACCCCAGAGTAAGACGCGCACCCCATCTTTAGTGACTCTAACCCTGCAATATTTTAAAAATAAGAACACCAAAACTTGAATCTCGACTTGAATTGATCCTGAATTCGACCAATTTTCAAATATTTCCACTGTAATACATTAAGCTTTTCTGTAAAAATCGATTCAAAATGTTCCATTACAATAAAATATAATGCACTCCAAAATTTATAAACTTTAAAAAAAAATACAGCATCTTTTCACCCGCACCCCACTTTTTTCTCTAAATTTTTAGAGAGAAAAGGTACGCGTGGAACTCGAGTAAATAAGGTACTGTATACATCAATCTAAAAATCGAAGCTTGGGTCTATCTCCAACGCGCAACAAATTTTCATCGATCTTCTTTAATAAACGGAAACCATGGTGCTTTTGCGCACAGAAAAACTCCGGGACAGGCAGAAATAACTTATTACCGGGAGGAACTTTCGTGAGGAGAAAAACTGCGTTCCTCTCCAGGGGAAAATTTATTTCGTCATAACTTTCAAATTTTTCATTTTTCTTTCTAGAAATGTCCCCCTGTGCTCTTCAACGTACAATACAAAACTTAAAAGAAAAATTCAGGCATCACATAAAAACTTGAATCATGGTCACAGGAAAAAAAAAAGTGCAACCCCCAATTCATGCCTAACCCGTCGTACATCAGTAGTAGAACTTTGGAAAACCGTCGAAATGTGGAAAACTTGTCTGCTTGTCTGCCTCGGCCGGCGGACACGGAATACGGAAGTGCATTAGCGACAACAACGTCCGACTGCGGCTTCCGGTCGGGCCCTTTCACTAGCCTCCTCGCCGAGCAAAACACCGTTGCTCGCCGTATTGGGGATCGAACTCCGACGCGACACGAGGATGTGATCCACGAGCTTCTCGACGGCGGCGTCGATGTTCACGTCGTCCTTGGCCGACGTGGCAAAGCAGCCAACGAGTCGATGCGACGCGACAAAATCCGTCACAGAGTCCATGTTGAAGTCGTCGGCGACGGGCAGGTCGCACTTGTTCGCCAAGAGGATCACAGGCAGTGGGCGTTGGTCCGGCAGTTCCACTTTCGAGATGAGATCGTCGTACCACTTGGGCACCGAGAAGAACGTCACGGGCCGCGACAAGTCGAACACAATCACGGCAGCCATCGCGTACTTGTAGTAGACCCTCGTCATGCTTCCGAACCGCTCGTGGCCCGCAATGTCCCTGAAGTACGAGAAAACAACACGAATCAAGTGTTTGAAAATATAAAAACTTTACGCATGCGAGAAAATCTGCTCAAAAGCACGAAGGTCCCACTTGAAGAGTGAACCAACAAGAGAGTTTGTATCGGAGGATCCTATGTTTTTGATACTGCCACGAGTGCAAACGACGTGAAGTCTACACAGTATTTAAATCACACTCGCGCGGAAGTACCGTAATGTACCTAGACTCCTAGAACATTTGATCATTACCGTGATTATACAGGTGAACCTCTCTCAGTCGAATTTCTAGGGACCAAGAAAAAAATTCGACTTAGGGAGGCTTTGAATTTTTTAGGAAAGGAAACAAATATTTTTGCTGCAAGGAAAATGGGAAAGTAGATTAGGACATTCCAGGCCTAAACTTGCTTCTTAATGAGTTTACAGCTTATTGAACTTGTGGGCAGGGGTTCATTTGTTCAATTAGTCCTTCACTTGATTTCAAAACGCATAAAATAATTTGTTTCGTTGATTTTCTCAATCATATTTCAAGGAAAGACTGTAATGACCAAAAGGCCTCAGAAAATTCGACTTACAGAGATTTGAGAGAAAACTACTTCGAGTTAAGGAGGTTTTTAATGAATTGCTTCTATGGGAATCCAGACAGGGACTTGAAAAAAATTCGACTTAGGGAGGTATTTGACTTAGAGAAGATCGACTTAGCGAGGTTCACCTGTACCGTCAACTCATCCCGTAGAATTGGGCCACTTTTTGTTTGCAATACAGTACAAAATTGCACATGTAGAACGACCTGGTCCGGTTTATGACTAGAATCGATACAAAGCTTGGAAATACTAAAAACCCGTCGGAAACCTTGCTTCTCTTCCGTGAATCCAGTGAGTCCTCGCATAACGAAGAACCCGCGCAACGAAATACTGTATTCGCACTACGAAATTTTCTAGGGGGAAAACTGACAGACAACGAAATTTCGGAGCAAAAAAGTTCAAATTTTAGCAAGTTTTGGTCTTAAACTTCGTTATTTCCATAAAATCGAGGGAAATTCGAAAAAAGACGAAGCTTTGCGTATTCTAGTCTTAAAAATTCGTGAAATTTAAAAAAGTTAGCAGAAGCTTGCCAGGATTCTAAAATTTGCAATTGTAAATTTACAATTTTATGCTGAGAAATGCGAAAAAGACAACGTTGAACAGGCTTATCATATTATTTTTGTGAGTACAGTATTTAAAAAAGTTTAAATTATTTAAAATGTATTCAAGGGAAAACGCGTTTTGCACCAAACAAATTCCGCATAACGAAAACGGTTTGTTTTCTTCATGCGGGGGACCCACTGCAATTTGCTGAATCATGTTCGAAGATTTAAATTTTACTTGATATTCCGATATGGCTAGAAAAAACTCAGATTTGACCAATTCAATACCAGATTTGAGAACAAATTTTCGAATTTTTTCTTTCCTCGTTTTGACGAATACTTGGGAAAACAAAAATCGTTTGAGGAACATCCGTTGCTATTTTAGGATGTGCCCAAGAAACCCGTGTGTGTTGGGTAACAGAGGCCACGCAAAGTTGATTTGGGAGATCCTCGCCAAACAATCAAACGATATGTATTCTTCCCTGCTTTTTAGAAGTTTTCAAGTAACTCCAGTAAAATTAAATTTCCAGTCGTTTCCAACTTATTTTCTTCAGGAGAAAAATTCCCTTTCAGATTCTCCACAAGCTTTTCTCTGTCTGCGATGATAATTTCAGGCTACTTGCAAGACTTCATGCTAAACCCATCACATGTCTGATTTTCTTAGTCTCAGCTTTTCTTGCGTTTTTCAACTAAATGAAGATTTCTTGTTCTCTTTATCTAGACGAAGAAAAAAAACAGCGAAGCACTTACCAAAGTTGCAAATTGATCTTTGTATTCTCATCCCATTCCAGAGTTTTGAGAGCGAAATCCACTCCAATCGTCACCTTATAGTTGAAGGAGAATGCGCCCTCACAGTAACGGCGAATGATGGCAGTTTTACCTGAAATTCATTAGAGTTCACGATCAACATCAAGAAAAAATCGGCTTTTACTCATTCACTCTTGTGCCCATTATACATCAGTGAATCCTAAAATGCTCTTACAGTCAAACCCTGTTGAGTCACCACCCTTGGCAACCACGAGTTTTTTTTTTTTTTTAATCTCATCTGATGACAATAACATTGGAAACCCCATTAAAATTCTGAACACCTTCCTCCTAAATTAACCCTCCCAATCCAAATTTCTTAAACTGCAATCTAAAAAGTAAAAATTGAAATTTTTGCTTTGTTTCAAGATGAGAAGTTCTTCACAGTTGGTTATTTCAGGTTGGGTTAATTTAGGTCAGATCAGGTTAATTTAGAATGGATAAAATAATAATGAGCTTCTTTTTGCAATTTTCTTTGACTGAAAATATTTTTCCAAAATTTGTTTAGATAACCTTAAGAAACAAGGCATGAAAGAACAACAGAATGATCCACCTCATTCTGTTGCTCTTTCATGGCTTTCAGAGAAAAAGCAAAGCACAATACATTCAAGAATAAACACGTGAAGCAAATTTTAAAATAATATATTTGTAAATTTTAGAATGCAAGTAAAATTTTCGCAGAAATGCTTTCATGTGATGGCTTTCCTTTTGTGAATTTTGCTGGCGAGACAAAACAGATAACATAAGGCTAAACATACACCAAAAATCATTCCTACCAACATTTGCACCATGCTCCCCTCCATCTCAATATTTTTGTCTTCCATCTTGCAATTTTTGGGGACATGCAAAATGAATTTCCACAGATTTTTGTACAGAACTTAATTCAAGAAAAATTATAAACAATTGAAAGAAACCTGCATATGCTAACCAAAATTAATCAACTCAGCCTAAATTAACATATCTGAATATACAGTACTACGTACGCTACTATTTTTAACCAAAAATATATTTCAATAGTGTTCAAAAAATTACTGAAAAGTTGTGCCTTCCTGAAACCTTCAGGATTTTTCCTCCAGCCGTTACAATTGAATTTCCAATAAAAATCGGATTACACAAACTTTTATCGATTTCTGGTGTGCACACAGGAATGCGACAGTTGTACAACAGGGTGGCTGGGTTTTGGGTGAAATTTCGCGGGGTTCTTTCTTCGTGCTTTACGCAATGGTGGTTAGAATAATCCATTATTCTCCACTTCATCTGTTACAAGTGAAATTGCTTTCTCCAAAGATTTCAAACGCATCGAGACTTCACCGCAGAGTAACTTTTTCAAAAGCCGACGCGTGCAAATCGATGCATGCAACGCAATTACGTCGCGAGAGAATGTTTCATTTGACTCACCAACGCCGAATTCTCCAACGACAAGGACCTTGAAGAGAAGCTCTCGCGGAGGCTTCGGCGTTGACTGACCGGTATTTTGAAATACGGAAGTCATGACATGTTCCAGCAAATTAACCCTCGTGGAAAAATTCAGAACTTCCAGCCGAGAAATCCCAAGGATCGCGTCGATTTCACGATCACTCAATAAAAGCTCATTATCGTTATTATTCGAGTTCTCTGAAAAACCCACTTTGAAGTCTGCTGGAAAACGGTTGAAAAACACATCAACGACGCGCATGAAGTTTCCCATGCGGAAAAGAAAACCACAGGACAAACAGATGTCGACGTTTCATCTCAAGTTCAGGTCTTCAATAGCAAAACAACAATTTCCCGAGACGACGACAACATCCTTTAATCCTCATCGTCTTCGTCAATCACCATTTCCCCTTCCGAGTCCCCCTCGGAAATACTTTGTCTCTCTTCGCCGTTTTCCTCGTTGAGTTCCAAGTCACTCTCGTGCTCACTGCTCGACTCAAGGCCTTTTTCTTCCCAGTCCGAGTCGTCGTCGTTCAGGACGAAAACGGGTTCTCGGTCGGTTTCTTTATCGAGATCTTCTGGTTCCGCGAAAGCGAAAACCATGTCAAACCTTCCTTTTACTTCTGAAAATTTTCGTAGCAACGCTTCGCTTTCCTGTTGATTAAATAACAGAAAATGTTACGGGAAAAGAAATGAGGAAGCAATCACAGAAACTAACCTCTCTCATTTTGAGAAACGGCGCAAGAATAGTATCTACATTCGGGTTCGACGCAAGTGCCGAAGTATGGAAGAAAAGCACGTTCTTGACCCATCTGATTTGAGTAGTTGCCCTGCAAATACAGAACACGAATTCAGTCGAAGAGCTTTCTTTTAAACCCGCTATTGAAAAAGATTTTCTAGAAAGCGATTTTACACGAGGATATTCAAGAGTGATAACGAAGTACGACCGACCAGATAATGAAAACGTAACCTATTTAAAATATGATATGCTTCATTTTAATCACAGGTTGGTCCAAGAATTTATGTCTCACATGGTCGTTTTCGAAAATTTCGAAGGTGGCTTCAAGGATTTCTGTGGAGAACGCGATTCTCAATAATTAACTGTAAGATAACGACATGATGTTCATTATTACTAACAGAAGAATACAAACTTATAAAAAGGTTCGCTCACATTTTTACGTTGAACTGTTCTAAACCAAATGTACTAAAACCAGCAAGTTGAGTTTATTTTCCAAATACAGTACATCACTGATGCAGTCAACATAGTCAATAATACTTTGAACAGCTTCTCATTTGCTTCCTCGAAATAACATTGAGAAGTATATGTGAAAAATTTCAGAAAGAAAAGATTCGTGGAAAAATTGATTAAAAAATACACACAAGTGGTTTAAAAGAAGCAGTGAACATTAAAATTTTCAAAAGGCATATGTCACACACTCTAATCGGTATTTTTATAAACAATTCACATGCTGTGATTCGATATTGGAACTACACATCATTGGACGATTAGTATTTTAATGGACTTCCGAGTCTTCCAATTTGGGCAAGATGTTTATCTTGCCCGGACTGAAAGGGAATTCCACCAAAAATATCGAAGTCGAATGATCTCTCGTGAAATGCAAGTAAAAAGTCACTGCGAAGGCACAGGAATTACACACGATCAATTTAAAACGATCACAACCAGTTATTTCAGCATATAGAAATGTTTACGTATTAAATCTCCCATAATTGCCGAACACTTACATTTATTACGGAGAAAAAAAATACTACGAGAATATATGAAACTTACTGTTCTGGCTGCATTCCAGTCGATAGTGACTCCGCCAAAACCTTAAGCAAGGCTGTGACGTATTCTGCAGGCAATCTTCTCAGCGTGTTTTTCATAGTTGCTTCATTGTCTACCGATAAAACTTGCCGCAAAATGGATTTGTCTTTACTCTGCAATCCCTGTACCAATAGCCGAGTTAAACTTTGACCACTTCGACCGTCTTGGCCATCTTCGTGCAGTTCAACTTCTTGCAATCGTTCGCCCAGCGACTTTTGCACTGGGTCAATTACTTCGGCTTCTCGTTTCAACCCAGCCTTCAGGCCAACAGAAACGCCGAATTTAGGACTGTCCACAACTGGTTGCGTAGAAACTTTGGATTTTTTTCGCCGCGAACTGGCCGCTCGTATAAGCTGAGTTTGCTCTTCCAAGTCGTCGTATTCCTATCAAGGGATTTCGAAAAAATACATTTCGGAACATAGTACAGTACATCGATATCATTTTGGATACGTCACTTACGAGCATCTCCATCGACGGTTTCGCGAAGTCACCTCGGATGACAAGGATTTTGCCATCCTCACGAACTACAGCGAAGCGGACCGGTATCAAAGACTGACCTTCGCCGTGCAAAAATTTTACTACCTTCGAAGGAACCACGGGTTTTCGTTGTTTTCTAAAATGCAAGAGAAAAATTTCATTAAAATCCCTTTACGAAAGACAGAAACGATGATATTGGAAAACAAATTCATAAATAAAGGCGCATGCAAGAATGAAGGTCGAACATTTTCAACAGCTCGGGAAGGTAGGGACAACTGTAAAACTTAGGGTTTTCTCTTTATTCCTGATAAAATTAATCACAACTTCAGTGCTAAATTTGCAGAACATTCATGTTCAAAAATTGATTTTTTGTTTAAATCTTCCTCAAAACAAGATCAAGTGAACTTTCACCCCCGAAGATTCACCAAGTTATTCAGTAGAACTCACGTTCCAGGAGAAAATCTGTAAAGCAGCAGCGAACCACCATCAGTCACTACTGAAACGATAGCATCCGAGTTCCAAAGTCCAACAGAAAGATGACAGACGTTTTCCGTCGAAGCTAGCGTAAGAAAACTTCCATCGATACTCGCTAAGTTCCAGGCAAGTATGTTCCTTTCGTTTTGTGCCGCAGTGAAGAATAATGACGGAGCTACAAATTCACTCTTCCGCCGCTTTTTCAACGTTTTCTCATCGCTGGTTTTTGATGGTGATAGCGCAACAAGATGAGAAACTGGATTCACGTGGCCAGTCACTTTATGCAAAGCCGTGCAGTCTTCTGTATTCCATACTGTGATAACGCCGCTAGTAGATGCACTCACTAGCTTGGATCCATTTTCTATTAGACCCAGAGCACTAATGCCTTTCTTCCCGGCACTCCACTTCCTAAGAAAAATGCAAGAAAATTGATATTCTCACATCTTTCGAAAACAAAAAGGCCTCGAAGAGCTGGCATTATTTATAATGTGTCTTAATTGCTCGGTCATAAGTTCATCAAGATAAATACACCGTAGAATGCGTTAGCACTCGTTAAAATCGCTTCGTGATGTTCTAATGAGATTGGTACTTGAACAAATCCATATGATCTCATTGCACTCTAAGGGAACAAAACTCCCGATTTCAAACGGAAGTGTTAGAGATCAAGAGGGTATGAGCAGAATGAATAGCGTAGAAGACTGCGAATCTTGTGAGAGTGCATCTCTTATTCCATCACGAGATCCGACAGAATCATCAGAAGTCACTCTCGATCACATTAATAAACCTCGCTTCAGGGAAATTACTACCGATTACAGATAAATCTGAATTAAAGTGACTCACTTTTCCACACGACCCTTGCTGCGTTTGTTCAAAGACCATTCCACTATTTGTCCATCACCACCACCAGAAAAGAAGCTTTCTTGACTTCGCACTGCCAGCCCACGGACTGCGTTGGTGTGAGAAACGAGCGGATCGCCGACTACCTTCAATCGCGACGCGTCCAACAAACACACAGATCCGAGCTTCGTTCCAAAGCATAGTAGATCCTCAGTGAGCCAATCGATTGATAGCATGGGATTACTCAGATGATCAGCAGAGGAAAACTCCCCGACGATGGTTTCCGCGAAGGCATCCCAGAATATTACACCTCCGTCAGGTGATATGCACGCGATTTTCGAGCCACACTTCGACGTCACACCAAGCCTACTCATCTGTGATTACAATGGAAAATGTAATCCAAATTTCCGAAAACGAACGTAAAATGCTGAATACCGTGATTCTTCAAGACCACTTCCAATGGGGTCACGTGAAGGAGGGTGACACAGGCACTCTTACGATTCAAAAACAATCCCGCATAACCGACGGTCCTCAAACAACGGGAAGAAAAGTTCAGTTAATTCAGAGTGCCTCTCATGGTCGAATATTTCGGTCAAAATTTCAGAACTAGTCTTTTCCTTTTGAAGCAACCCCACAGTTCTTCGGAAATTATGAATCCCTTTGTTGTACGTCAAGGTATTATGGATCAGTTTCGTCATGATTCCGCAAATGTAAGAAAAGTTAGTCGGTTGTAACGCTAAGTAGGTCAGAGTGAGTTTGGCTATGAAGACGGCCTTTTTTTTTTCGAACATCCGGAGAGCAGAAGACGGGGATGCTTCAACATGGAAGTACCTTTCAGCCGAAATAAATGCAAGAACAATTTGAAAAGGAAAGAAAGACGGATATAATAGAGTGGTAGCAACACTCCAACCATCAAATGTTCACATTTTATCCTTCGTAGAACTTTGGAATTTCAGCTCCAGAGAAGTTCAACCGCTCAACCCCCTTCTCGGTGATGACAGCAAGCCGAATGACTCCTCCACTGCTTCCATCTCTGGACATCGCCAGGGCAACGCCTAAAAACGAAGGTTTTCAAAGCTCAGAAATCAATAAAATCGCAAGTGTTAATACCTTTCTTGACGAATTCGATACATTCGACTTGGTTCATCCCTTCTTTGAACATTGAATCCAGGTAGCCATAAATATATGTACTGCCAGAGCCACCAGCAGCGATCTTCTGTCTGACCATCATGCCGCCTAAAGGAACTAGGTAAACCTATAAATGACAATAGCTCGTATTCAGTAACACTTCTTTGCCAACCAAGGACGAGAAAATACCTGTCCGCCTTCCTTCGGATCCCAGCCAGCGCAGATTATTCCAGCCAGAAGCTTATCACGATTATTATAGCAAATATCGTGAATTACATTCGCTGCCATCTTCACCAACGGCTCCTGACCCAATTCGATCCTAGAAAAGACCTTTCCCTATTCGTAGAAGTCCAGGAATACGTCAATGAATTACATACTTCAGAAAACCAAGGTGAAATTCAGCAGCGTTCGCTACGGCCTGCGTGTCACTCGCGCTACCGGACCGCAAGCAATAGATATAATCGGTGATTCTCGTGATTTTGTCGGTGACCCGGTTGACGATGTATCCCCTGCACACAGCAAAACAATGAAAATTGTCATTCCAGATCGACGAAACAGAAATTTATCATAAATCATACCCGGAGGATGTTCGCGAATCAGCACCGAGGACAACGCCTCCATCAAATTCCACGGCTACCAAAGTGGTCTAGAGCAAATACAAATCGCACTTTGATTCACGAGTACGATTAGAAGCGTAACATCGTACTTACCCCCATGCTAACGGGACCCATCCATGACGGACCCGGAAGAGCTGATTTCATACTGTCGATTCCTGATGAGACGTTTAACTGTGCGAAATGATTCTGCATTCCGAACATGTTTTCGACAGCTGATCTCACAGAACAACGCGTGAAGAACCGAAATTTTCTAGCGGAGAATGACAAAAAGAATTATCAATACCCTTCCTGTGGGAAACCGCAGAAAAACATAAATTCGTTTCGATATGGCTTGCACGGAGGACGATCAATTTTAAATCCTGAACACTCAGCTGCATGCAGCGAATGACCGAAAGAGACACGGATTGAAATACTCTCCACCAACAACATGCTCATTTGCTGAAATCACGCGTAGAGTAGTTAGCCCATCAGGGGTGACCGGACGTTACGGTACACTTTCAAACTGGACGCAACTCACTTCCACGCTGCCCCTCCAGAGGGCTGTTCCCTACCACTCCATGCCTCAATGCCAAAAATGAGTGACTTCATAAACTGCGAATGCTTGCAGATACGAATTACATGTTGAAGAATTGTGTTGGAGTAGGAAGATAACANTTGCCAACCAAGGACGAGAAAATACCTGTCCGCCTTCCTTCGGATCCCAGCCAGCGCAGATTATTCCAGCCAGAAGCTTATCACGATTATTATAGCAAATATCGTGAATTACATTCGCTGCCATCTTCACCAACGGCTCCTGACCCAATTCGATCCTAGAAAAGACCTTTCCCTATTCGTAGAAGTCCAGGAATACGTCAATGAATTACATACTTCAGAAAACCAAGGTGAAATTCAGCAGCGTTCGCTACGGCCTGCGTGTCACTCGCGCTACCGGACCGCAAGCAATAGATATAATCGGTGATTCTCGTGATTTTGTCGGTGACCCGGTTGACGATGTATCCCCTGCACACAGCAAAACAATGAAAATTGTCATTCCAGATCGACGAAACAGAAATTTATCATAAATCATACCCGGAGGATGTTCGCGAATCAGCACCGAGGACAACGCCTCCATCAAATTCCACGGCTACCAAAGTGGTCTAGAGCAAATACAAATCGCACTTTGATTCACGAGTACGATTAGAAGCGTAACATCGTACTTACCCCCATGCTAACGGGACCCATCCATGACGGACCCGGAAGAGCTGATTTCATACTGTCGATTCCTGATGAGACGTTTAACTGTGCGAAATGATTCTGCATTCCGAACATGTTTTCGACAGCTGATCTCACAGAACAACGCGTGAAGAACCGAAATTTTCTAGCGGAGAATGACAAAAAGAATTATCAATACCCTTCCTGTGGGAAACCGCAGAAAAACATAAATTCGTTTCGATATGGCTTGCACGGAGGACGATCAATTTTAAATCCTGAACACTCAGCTGCATGCAGCGAATGAGCGAAAGAGACACGGATTGAAATAATCTTCACCAACAACATGCTCATTTACTGAAATCACGCGTAGAGTAGTTAGCCCATCAGGATGCTCGCCCGGTGTGGCAGGCAGGGCGTACTCTACCCTCACTTCGGACTCAAGAGTCCGTCCTGCCTAGGCAGCATGGACTCTAGAGTCCAAATTGAGGGTAGAGTACACACCGGACAAAGGAACATAATCAAAATCTTCAAGACAGAAAAGACTTTCAGGAAATCCCACCGAAAAGAGTTTCTGGATGGCAGCCGTTCTTGATTCAGTACTGTACCGTAATGTATCAGAAAGGGCTTTCAGACAACTAGTGACCTCTATGCAAATTCAACATAGCCGAGTTCCCACAAGGGCCCCTACCAAACAAAACGCCTCCCGTTCTTTGGTTGTACGGTATCTGTATACTGTAGTGTATACTGACGCATTGCATTTATAGTTCCTTGAAAACTTTTTTCTTTGTGCCAGTTGTGCAGGTTTTCTGCAGTACACATTGAGTGAACAGACTTTTTTTTAATTCTGAGGCAGCTCAGGGACTTCGTCATGAGCTCAAGATTCCAGGGACATATCTATTTTTCAATTTCTGTATTATGTTCCTATTAAATCTGATGAACAGTTCATTTTTATTATCATTGGAACGTGAAATTTAAATTTTGTATTGCTCCATGTACTTTCTAATGCCCAGCTATAGGTGATTATAGTTATTGTGGACCGTATTACGAGAAGATAGCCTGTTGTTTACTTGTTTTTATATACAGTACAGCTTTGAAATTGTTTAATTCACAACAGTTGAACATCAGCAGTAATTTTTCCAAAAAATTGTTTATCGATTTTCTTAATTTTGTGCAACAGTTGGCTTAGTAATCAAATCTTATTGCACGATACAGTAATGAGTTCCCGTCTAAGGACGACATGCTGCCTTAAACAGTACATGCTGGAGATGTTAAGATTGTAATACCCAATAGGTCCTATTATATATACTGTACACATTCCCGAATTGCGGTGGTCCGTGGACCCGGCCCCAGTTCTCAAAAGTTTCTTGCTGGTCTGCATGACAATTTCTGCAGCATAAAAAATGAAAAAACATAGCAGTGAATTCTGTTAAATTTATTTGAAATTTTGGAAAAACAATGACAGTTGAAATTACTGCATCTGTTAAAAAATTAAAGTTTTCATTTCTTCTTCTAACACTTCAGACAAAATGTCACCTGCTGAAATAAATTATTTAAATTTTTTTCCATACTGAGAAACCCTTCTTCAAGCCTACGTTTCTATTTTTTGAAGGCATTCCCCTATATATGTAGCTGCTTCATTACTTCTTAATTCTTGAAAAAAAAAAATAAACATTTTAAATTTCTAACATATAGTCTTCCAAGGAAATTGTTTTAGTCTGCAAAATTATTATGAAACTTTGTCAGTCTGCAGAAAATGGTAGCAACATTTCTGGTCTGCAATTTTTTGAAGGAAATTTGCTGGTCTACAGCAGGCCCAAAAAGGTTGGGGAACACTGTTCCACACCATACATTACAGGTCCAACTGATCCATGCAAGGAATGAATTCCCAGCACTCCTATATCCAAAATCAAACTGCCATAATCAGAGTTGGCCCTTATACTGTATATATGTTTGTGGAGACGGGGGCAAATTTGGCGCATGCGGGGACCTTTGAATAAACCTTCCCTGCCAATTTTCAAACAGCGCATGAAGAATTAAAAATAAGGATTTAAATTTAAGCTTGATTGCAAGTTCAATTAAATTTCTTAGGGGTTATACAGATCATTAAGGATCATACTTTTTAGCGTTTTAAAACCTGGAAATTTGAACAAGCTACAATTTAAAAGAAAGTCTTTTTTCAAGATTGTCCATCAATTTGCAAAGAGTTTTATTTGTATCGGTTTCTGTCATAAGTTATCAACAATTTTTAAAAAAAGAAAAGAATTTGGAAAATTTCATTGCACGTCCAAGAATTTTTTGACTTGAGTTTGTTCCAAACATGGTTCTTTAAATTTTGCAATTTTTAGAATGGGAATTGGGATTGCTGCCATGTGTGGCACTGCCGCTGTGGCCATCTGGTGTGGCGCCGCAGAGGCACTATGGCGGAAGAAGCAGAAGCGCCAAGGCAAAAGCGCCATGGTGCTACAATGCTGCGCTTTGATCCTTCTGCTGTAGATGTCGCTCCAAATAAAATGTTCTGCAGCATTAATAGTGGTCATGTTGACCAGTACATCCACGTCACATTACAACTAAGTTATTGATTTGTAACTTAGTTAATGATTAAGTACAGTTTTCAAGTTGAAGTGAATTTTAAAGTTCTTAAAATTTGATTTACACTTGTTAGGGATGCAAGAATCAATATTGTTTGTCCAAAATGGCAGTGTATTTTTGGGAATTGGATATACATTCCCAATCATAAATATTGTATTGCATTTGTTGCATTCACAAGTTGAATGGGCAAACTTGGCAGTTAAACCACCAGCAATGTCTGCAGTGCAGCAGGATTTTGGCGGTTTAACGAGGGTGGCTGCTTATTGGGAGTGCTATATGGTGTCCTTTTTGGTACTGTATAGTGGGTGTATATATACTGTACAATATATGATGACTCATATCTCACTGAGAGACAGCATATACTAAAAAGGATATTCAAAACAATAAATGCATTTTTTGTTACTTTCATGGATGTGCAACACATCTTTCTTCTATCTTGATCACTATATTATTTCACAGGAAGATTGCAACATATAGGAAAGAATTTTTAAAAATAAAAAGGCAGAATATATATAGCAGCTTCTTTACATTCCTTGATTCACAACATTTATGCTTTAAAGAATGGCAATCAAGCATTAGCAAGTTTATACTTATATGGGTCTCTGGAGCATCATCATCAATTGCTAGAGGTAGTCTAAAAATTGAATTCCCAAGTGGAAAACAGGGTTTATTTGTATTTAAAGCAGACATTTTCAGTCAATCTTTGTTGTATAATCAATGGTTTTTTCCAGGGGTGATATGGTTTTTATTAGGTGGTTTTATTAGGATATGGTGTTTTTTTGGGGGGGATAATTTGAAATACCTTTTCAAATTATCACCCCATAGCACCACCAACATCTGTTTTAGTTCCACAGCAGCATGTGTTTCTTTAGGAACCATTTTCAAAACTGGGATTTGTTTTTGCTGGTTATATATTCTGCAATCATTCAGATAAAAAATAATTTAATTGGGTGGGTGTAAAATTTTTAACTTTGCCTTTTGCCTGCTGCTGCACTGGGAAGTCTTTTATTTTTGAATCCCAGTATAGGAAATGTTCTGAATATGCAACAATTTTCCGCCAAAATTCCAGGACACCCAAAAGCTGAGTCATCAAAATGAGAAACAATCATCTCCCCCTTTAAGCAGTTATAATGCTATACCTTGCTTGAGGAATTACATCTTTTTTCACAAAAATATTTTGATTGCAATACTTTGAAATTTTCATGATGAGAAGTTTTGAGGATCAGTAATTTTTTAGTCTAGTAAAACATTGGCACGAATTCTAGAGAATATCAAAAGGAATCCATTAATTTTTCAGAAAATTCACAAATTTTGTTGCACCTTTAATTACAATTTCATGGCTTAATTTTTAGGACCATTGTAAATTCTGCAGGAATCTCTTAAGAGAATAAAAGTTGAAATTATTTTTGCACAAAATCTGCATGCAAATCGGATTAAAAAGCTATGCACAGAAGAGGACATCTTTGGCAGTTTAAAGAAGGAAAAAGTTAATAGCCTATTTGTGCACAGAAAATTGTTGGTGGATGGCAGTTGGCAGTTTATCAAGGTTTCTCAATTCCCAATACCTTCATCATTATTGGTAAAATTTGTTTATAGGAACATTTTGGCAAGAACCAAGGTTGGCACTTTATTGGGGGCTTTTTGTCAGGGGTCAGTATAATGGTACAGTATTTTGAACTTTTATGGGTGGTCCTCACTGTCTAATAAGACACTACACCTGGCATTCAAAATTATGCCATGTGCAAGTGCGATGTTATTTGTACCACTGTGTTATTTATGACAATATAAATCTTATTCCATATTCAAAATTTAAATGGTGCAGTATATACAGGAACTTATTCACATGAGTTGCGCCATATATGTTAGTTGGATAATCTCAATTTGTTTTATTCTTTTTATAAATTTGTTCTGATCGATTTGTGCACTGCTGTTATTTTTCCGTGAGAGTCTCCCTCGATTTTCTGTGTATCAATGCAGTTGTAGCCACTCAATGAAAGCCACTGATGAAGGATGTGGGAGAGACTGGCGCTCCTAGGGTTGGCGTGGAAGAGGCAGCCCTGATTGCAGCGGCTCTAAGTAGAAATTGTACTGATACATCGCGTCACTTGTGATATCCCTCCATGGATTGCATCAAGCTCTACAAACTTTTAAAGATATCTGGAATACCTAATTCAAGGGAAATTTTGGTTAATGAATTCAGTCATGTAACACTTGTGTTGAAGGGAATGTACTCAAAATCAATGGGCTGCTGGAAAGTCGGACTTACTTTAGTGCTCTGTGAGAGTCTTAGAACTAGCTTGTTGCGGGCACTAAGTCCATGAGTGGATATCCGTCATTGGGAATGATTGAACGGTGAAAATCTCAGTCTGTCGGTGAATTTAAAATTTTTTTTCGTATCAATTGACAATACTTACGCAGGATATAAATACGTGATCCATGTACACCTCTCTCGATTGGAAAATTTGTCTTGTTACTTACCCAGTTTCATTGTATGCCCGTGAAGTGTACAAACTCCTACAGTCCCATCCGTCGGCCATGTTCTTCACTGCACTAACAAGAGCTAGAGTTCGCGGTCTGTTGCGTCTGAAGTTGAGGCGTCGTGTGGGAGCAACGAGTTGCCAAGCATAATGTTCTGTACAGTATATGGGTTCATCTCGATACGTGTCCCAGTTACAGAAATAAATTTTGAGTAGAATTTGACTGATGAATTATATTTAGAGAATTCTTCAAGTTTTATCAATAGTGGTTGCAGGGACGTGACAAGACTTCTGAATGCAACGGAGAATTCAGTGGAGTTTCCTGCAACTCAGTTTTCTGTGATCTTTCAGATTTTTATCATGATAAAGAACTGCAGGGGCGACATGATAACGTGGAAAGTTGGAAAGAAAGTGTTGTGTGAGTGTTTACCCCGGTTGCCACTCGAATCTTGCGGGTGCCTGTGAAGCATAAGAACCCCCGCTAGCCAATGTGGTTTGGTCATGTGTCCTCATTGACGAAACTTGCGAATGGCTACCACTGAAGTGGAGCAGCAGCCCGAAGGTGGGGACGGGCTCTCGAAAGTCGGAATCACTCTGGGAGAAAACGGAATCTCTTCCGATGGCAAATCCACCATCGGCATGTCCACAGCGACGACAACGACATCGTCGGGTAACAATGGAATGATCCCAAGCCCAGGTGAATCCTACGGGTCCGGTTTGATTCGTGCGCCCGCCGCGATGCCTTTGGCTGAGACTCAGCATCTCAATGTCCAGCATATCAAACAAGTGCCGAACTCGCGTTTCAGTGGTCAGTACGGTGAAATAAACGGTCCGCGATCGCCCGGCGAACAACCGAACTATAGCCCATATCCTCACGGATATCCCGCACACAACTATCCACGGCACGCCATTCCGACTACTCCCACATTGAACCAATTATTACAGACTCCGAATCCAGGGCCAGGAAATATGCCCTGGCGTCCTTCCCCAACATCTTTGCCACATTATTTGAACCAAACGCCGGGAATGACTCAAAACCACCTCCGCCCACCTGAGGTAACTATTACAGTGGTTGCATCCCGCGCGATTTCGTATTTGACCCCCACTCTGTGATAATATTTCCATAGCCACGTTTGCCATCCTCTGCTCCCTACGGTGCTCCGTATCCGCCAACCTCGTTTCCAAATGCAGTCTCTTCCCTCAGGGGCCCTGGCTATCATCCGGGACAAATCATGGTGAGTTTTTCTCATGCATATTTGAATGAATTCGATGCGTGCACAATGTGAGAAGAATATGTTCAGATACAACATGAATTGTAATACAGCGTTGAAGAACGCGGTGCTTTGTATTGAGAGTAGCGTAACTTTTGCCTGGAAGGGAATTATCCTGATCAGGGAAACTCTGCCACGTTCGTGCCAAAAGTTCTCACGGTGTTTGATCACCGTCACCGAAGTCGGAAATGACGCACTTCGGGAGCTCTAGTGTCGCGATTTTCAGAAGCAGGGATTCCCCTCTGCTCCGAAGTCCCGAAAATCCTTCTCTAGTTGGGCTAGAAGCAAAGGAGAAATAATCTGCGTGCGAGTAACCGGGGATAATCAAACGATCAAGTTTCCACGAAAACAGGGTTACAATTTCATGGCAGGTCGGTTCGAGTTATTCTACAAGTTGGAAAAGTACACCGCGAATTGTCGATAAATCGAACGCTTTTGAATTTTATTCTAAAATAATTCAAATCGAAAGTCCGTTTTGGTTGACGTTCGGGAAGATTTTCACTCACCATCGATGGTAGAAATCAAGTGTACTGCATGCTGTATTTGTTTTTCGGTAAATGTGAGACAACGAAAAAAACTTTCAATCCGATGTATTTCAGAGAAACGTTCTATTAATCTGAATTTTTGAAAAATATTCATGACGCGAAATCTTGAAATCATCTTTGTTTTTTAACACCAGAATGATATTAAATAATACGGCTCGCCTGGCGAATATTATTTTCGTTAGATTTTGAAAAAGTTCAAACGCCAAGCACTGATTTAAATCCCCACTAAATAAAGTAAAAATTCTCGCTGCTGTCACAATCTGCGACAATTTTTCCATTGCAGCAAGTAAACTTTTTGCAACAGCGTGAACTCATTGAGGTGATTTTTCACTAGTTCATGTGACACTTACGAAGCAGTCGGTCTGTCGTCACTTTCATTTCAGGGTTTGTAGGTCGTGACAGGTCGGACTGGAACAAATTTCGACGTGTCATGCAGTGCCAGAGAAAAAGGGGGAATTGTGGTAGTCTTACCTCAGTAATGAGCTCCGATTTGTATTTTGCTTTTGGCTCGGGTTCCGCACGAGACAAGCGCATGTCGATTCGTCAACAATCTCAGTCAGAACATTGAAAAGGCATGAACGCAGTGCAATGTACCGACGAGTGCATTCACACTGCTTTTCTGTGACATTTGAGCGCATTTAAAAGCGGCGCGACTGAAAAAATATAATACAGCTTTTTTTTCTTAGCAATGCAGAACAGTAATATTTATGATGTCAAATGCATAGAAGCCCTCGTGCAAAAGTTGTTCAGCGTCGGACAAAGATTCCGATCGATCGGAATGAATATTTAAATGCAGTATTTTATATTTGCGGTATTATTTATTTATTTAGAAATTATTACTGAGGTTATTTAGATGACCTTTTCAAAGCCTGCTCATTTTCTTCCCTATGATTTAGGCTTATTGCTGAAAATGGAGGCAATTTTCAAGCCGTTTTTCATTCGCTAATTGCCGTATATTTGCTCCAGTATTAAACGGGTTTCGTTGCCTCGTTTGGCATCGAATAAAAGTTTGCGGCCTTCATTTGACCGAATTCGAATGTATTAAACAAAAATTACTTCTGATCAGGAAATGTCTTTGAATAATTAAATACACTCGCACCATTTTATTGTTCATTCCGCACGAAAAAAAATCCTGAAGATATTTCACGGAATGTTATGGATAGAATCACGGGAGGCCCACAACACCACAACACCGAAGAATGAGTGGTGCTCGACGATCTACAGTCAAGAAATTGAAATAGACTATTTATGATCAAAGCCTTCACGACACGAAAGAGTCGTTTTTTTTTTTAAATAATTTTGGGAAGTCAATCTTCCGTTTTGTTCAAAAACTAATAAATTTGCTCCCCTAGCTTAATTCTTTGTTGGAGAACAATGTTTAAATCCATGATTTCATTCGGCTAGGGGAAGGAGGCAGAATAAGGTCAATCTCGAATTCGCTCTCGTCAGTGTCTGAGGTATTCCGCAGTACGGTGGTTTCTCGATTAACGGTCTATATCTGTGATTCGAAGAGTTCACGAGCGGAATGAGGTAAAGCTAAATCCCTGGACAATTGTCGTGTATGTTAGTTCCAGGGCAATCAAAAAGCCAATTTCCGTTGGGAAAATGATGAATTTTTTCTTTTTTTTTCAAGTCTTACGCTTTTCATGCGGTCTTTCACCTGACGTTAAAACCGTCGATATTCCGAGTCTATTGTGCGGTAAGGTCCCTTTTACGAAATGTTCATCATTTCATGGAGTACTATAACGTCAAAGAAAGAAAAAAACGGGGACGCTGTTTGGGTGAGTGAGTGTGTGACTTCGGGTTCCGACGACGACTTGCACTGGAGTGGCAGATGCGATCAGCTGTTTTCAACACTCGCGTGGTTTTAATGAGGCGACGGGGATGGATACGTTTGCGTTTTCCCGCGTCACGGGTTTCGGGTTCTTCTTCAATGGGCGGGAAAGTGAGGGGGGGGGGGGGGGATCGGGTCGTCCTCTTTTCGCGCCTTCTTCCTTCCGTCATCTGCCTGTTCGATTACATTTACTGTGTTTCATTGCGTTCTCATGACTCTGCTTCCGGGGGGTCACCTTTGGGAGTTGAATCATAAGAATAGTGTAGATTCAAACTTGACTATTGCGTCTGTTCAGAAGAAGTGACATCTCGTTATTGCAACGAACTCCTCGTGGTTTTTTTTTTTCTTTCAAAACACGTATATTACTGAAATGTTGTGTTACAATGAATGGATAATGATACTAAGGAATGCTGTAAAGTGCCTCTGCAACAGATGCCATATTGACTCGAGTGCCATACGCAGCATCGAGTACGAAACGCACCTTAAATTTTCAGCCAAGAATTTGGAAAAAAAAGAACGTTATCCCCGCATAAGACGCGCACGTTAGTTTCAGCTACTAAATTCCTTTTTGGAAAGCTGTGTTGGGTGGAAATCTAATGTGCACATGCCACCCTTCTTCGTTTCCCCTAGCCTTGTGTAAATTGTTTGAAGCCTATCTTGGTGTCTGGCTTTCAGATGAATTTATTGAATTTTTCCAATCGATCACATCCTGAAGCCATACTGTATCACCTCATGTTGAAGCTCAAAATTCGTGTTCTTTTCTAAAAATATTTTGAATAAGTACTGAACTGTACTGTTTAAAAGCCCCTCCACTGCGGTATGAAGCTGTTGCAGGAATTCTACACACACAGCAGATTTAAGTATTGATGCTTGATTGATCACAATTCAAGAGTTGCGATGCTGTGCACACTTTTCGAGAAGTAAACAAAGAATATATACAATAATGTGTGTACGATATACGACAGTTGTCCCAGTTGGACGCGGCTTGGATATTTCTAAGAGTTTGTGTGATTGTAAGAAAATCGCTGCATAGCCCGTAATGTTTTAAGATTTTGGAATACAACAATTAAATTAACCGCATGATGATGAGTGAAAACTTTTCAGTTACAGCCAGAGTTCTTCACCCATGTTACAGAGTGCTAAAAATCGAAAATTCTTCAACCATTATCTAAAATGTAGAAAATATAATTGTTCAAATTTTTATTTTTTTTTAGCTGGTCTGATGAATTCGTAGCACCTTGTGACAAGGGTGGAGAAGTTTGGCTGTAACTGGAACGTTTTCACTTATAATCATGCAGTGAATTGAAAATTCTGGGAGTGATTCCAATACCTTTAAACATCTTGGGCTATGTCACAAAAACAGAATTTTTTTTTTTAATCCCAGAAATTTCAGAGTCTGCGTTCAACGTGGACAAACTCTTGTACGGTACGAAGTGAAATTTCAACCTGGGGGGAATAAAAAGGCGGCGCAGCATTCTTGGGAGCATCGTGCGCCGGCAGTAATGAAGGAGCGGAACACCATCCGTTGGCAACGCTCAGTGCATACGATGGTGGGAGAGGAAGTTCGTGACGGCCGGTCGTTTCTATGGGGAAAAAGCAGGCGGGGGAACCCGGGGAAGAGCGAAGGAAGGGAGAAGCGAAAAGAGCGGAACGCTGGCAACGATTTTCTTTCCCCTGCTGCTTGCGCCCGCATGGCGTTCGTTCCTCTACTTTATTTTTGTGTGTGTGTGTGTGTCCCTTTCCATTATAATTTTCTTTTTTCTTGCTGCTGCTGCTGCATGTCGGTGGCGGTGGTGGTGGTGGTGGTGGTGTTCTTGGCGTTCCTGGGCCATGGTTGCGCGGGGAACCACTGAGCATCCAACGCGAGGGCTGCCAGATTTTATTTCCTGGTTTAATGTACGGTAATGTACATTATTATGAAAGCATTCCTCAACTTAGTGTCACCTCCACACTGTAAGACCATTGAAAAAAAAACCATGTACCACATGGCCAATGGTGGCTGTGCATTATGTTCTGAATATATTTCTAGTACAAGTCAAGTTTGCCAGATTGGATGTCTTATTGTCAAGGAATGGTCACAGACCAATGGTTGCATCAAATCAAGGGTTGACCGTATTGATGTGAAGGTATACTGTATTTGATAAATTGATGGTTTAAGTGTCAACAAGTGACTAAGGACCAATAGTGGCACTGAGTGAAGGGGCACCTGTATTGGAAGGATGGTGTGTTGGCTAGATTGAAAGGTATTTTAATTGTGTAATCTGGGGGATATGAGTGGTTTGAAGAAAATTACAACTTTTGGATTGGAACTATCACTCATACCATTCCAAGATGTATAGACACAGACTGGTTATGTCATAATACATGGCCAATATCTTGAATATCCTGACCTACTGTGGGATACCATAGTCTGTGAATAAATTGAGGAGTTTGTGTAGCATGTGTATTACAGATGTGATCTCTATATGCAACGATCATTGAACAGGACTGATGCATTATTCATGCAGACATGACATGATTATGTAATCCTACATGCCGTTGTAATATCCTTCAGAAACTCCTGAACCATGAATTATTTCTAGGATTGAAGGTGATGCCATACAGGCCTTTCAAAGTCTGTACCCTTATATTTTGGAAATACAATAATTCCACGGGAAAATCAGGCTGATGCCGCGCAGTGCATTTTTTTTATGGTCCCTGCGTGATTATTGCGCGAAGATTTCAACAGAAATTATAATTATAACTTTATAAGTCCATGAATACTTAGTGATGTCACGATGCATTAATCATCATCTTTTAAGCATGTTGCTTGGAATAATATTGTACGTTTATGAACGAAATGTTTAAGCTGCGTAATCCACCAGAATTGTTGGCTTTGGCCTGAAACTGGAGTATTGAATTAATTTCTCATGACGTGCAGGGATGTGGTAGAGTATCTATAGACTTTGAATTTAGGAGTTGGATTGGATTTTTTTTTTTAAATTTTGTTGAACCTTGCTGATTTGAACCTCTGAAAGTTGAACGCCTCCCCATATAGTTGAGACC